CTGGTGTCCTAATACTGATCTCTATAAAAGGTCAGATTTTTTTCAATGACAATCTCTATTGCTTTTACCAGGGTGGCAAAATACAACTCCCATAGCTTGTAAGACTGGCAATGTGCACCTATAGTAGATAACAGCTATTAGTTTGAGTAAATGTGTCCCTGTGCTTAGTACAGTGGTGCCTCGCAAGACAGGCAGCTCCGTTTGATGACGAATCCACATTACGACAAGGTTTTTGCGATCGCAAAATGACGTTTTCAATGGGGGAATTTCACTGTGCGATGATCGGTTCCCTGTTTCGGGAACCGATTTTCACTTCCCAACGATCAAAACAGCTGATCGTTGGGTTTTCAAAATGGCCACCCGGTGCTCAAAATGGCTCCCCGCTGTGTTTAGGAGCCATTTTTTCGCTGCACAGACACCCAAAAATGACCGCCCCAATGGAGAATCTTCGCTAGACTGAGTTCTTAACCAATTGGAATGCATTAACCAGGTTTTGGTGCATTTCAGTGGCTTTTTTATTTTCGCTTTATGACGTTTTCGTTCTACAGCAATTTCACTGGAACGAATTAATGTCGTAATGCGACACACCACTGTAGTAGTTTTTTGGGTAGCATTTTACTGGGTTAGCAAAATGCTGTGGCTTTAAAATGCTGGTGGACTACGTTAGTCAGGTTCCAATTTGCTCTGCCTGTACTTTAAGACTCTAGGAAGTTCCCCCCCCCATTCAGTTGTTTTTTATATCTTAGTACAATGGTGCCTCGCAAGATGATTGCTTCGCATGACAATGAGGTTTTCAGAGTAATCTTGCACTTCGTTTAACGATGTTTCCTATGGGCAATTTTCGCTTTGCGATATTAGGGACCTTGCCTCGCAAGACGGTTAAATTTTAGGTCCCTGTTTTTCGCTTTACAATGTTTTTGACAGCTTGGTCTTGCTTCGGTATACGAGTCTTTTAACGGTCTCTGTTTTGTTAGACGGCTGTCTTCGCTTGGGAACCGTGTTTCGCTTAACGATGTTTCCTATGGCAATTTTCGCATTACGATAACAATCCGTTCCCATTGGAACGGATTATCAGGTTTTCAATGCATTTCAATGGGAAAACGTGTTTTGCAAGACGATGTTTTCGCTTAACAGCAAATTTCGCGGAACGAATTAACATTGTCTTGCGAGGCACCACTGTATTTGTTCTCACCTTCAGTTGCGAGCCATGAAAGAAACTCTTTTGCAAGGCAATATTATTCTACATTTACCGTGGTTCCAGAACTAGCTGGAAACCTGACTAATTGTTTTGCAGTAACTTTTAGTAAACTGCTGTTCAAACCTCATTTTTAAAGCACAATGTATGTTTTCAGGACTGTATTTTTTCTATATGCTCAATTTTTTTAGCACTCTGTGCAAACAAAATTCCACGTCTTGACACAGGTCATTTAGCAAATGCGTGCTCAGTGTGCATAATGTATTTAATTTTCATTTGAATTTCAGGAGGATAAAATAGTGCTTCACTTCCATCTCCATGCATTTAACCTTGTAGGTTTATTTTCTTCTATTATAGTATTTATCAAATCCAACATGGACGCAAACAAGAAAACAGATCCCCCAGTGTCTATGGAAACAGTCCAGCAAAAGGCAAATCCTGATCGTGGCCCTGTAGCATCCATTTATATACCAGAACAAGGTGGCTACAAAGAAAAATTTGTGAACGCCGTGGAGGACAAATACAAATGTGAAAAGTGTCATCTTATATTGTGCAATCCAAGACAGACAGAATGTGGACATCGATACTGTGAGACCTGCATGAACACCTTGCTAAGGTTAGTGTTCTTTGGTATTAGATTGGATTAACAGGTTTAAGAACACTCTGAAGTTACAGCATTTGTTTCTCCCTTGGAACCCTTTCCTGTCCCACGTTTTCTGCTTAAACCTTGTACAGTATGTATCAAATAGATAGATAAAGAAGCAGCGATCAAAGATCCATACCAAACACCTGGATTTTATCAGGTTACTGTTTCTTAATGTAGTGTACTGGGGATCCAGAGAATACTGTATTTTATGAAATTTAGACATTGTGACACCGCAGGCCAAGTAACACAGTCCAACTAATTATTCACTACTGGTGTATTTAATACTGTATTTTATGAAATTTAGACATTATTAAATGCTTTAAAATAGTTTTTTAACCTTAGTTTTAATATTGATTAATATTTAATTGTTTTAATATAGGGTTGGTTTTTTTTTGTATTTTAAACTTGTTCCACTGGATAGTTTTAATTGTCGTGCGCCACCTGGAGTCCTCTATGGAGAGAAAGGCAACGTATAAATAATATAAATAAGTAAATAATTTCCCACATTACTTAAGAGGCATTTCAGGGAGCAGCTTTCTACGCGCTTTGAAACCTCTGTGCAACATTAAGGAGGGGGTTAACATGAGTGATCACACATTTTCACTGACTCCTTGTGTTTGAGATATAATATGTGGAGAGAAGGGCTTTGTATGTCACAGGCACAGTAATTAGCAAAGACACTTCCAGTCCCTGTCATAGCAAAAGCTATAAAACGCTTGAGAAATATTTAAATGATTCTGTGAGACGTTGCTGTTGCTGAACGAATTCTTGGCAGTTCTGAAATGATACAGGGAGACTTAAGAATTGACATTTTCATACGTAGGCATGGTGGTGTCACCATTGTACAGGTGTGAAAGGAAACAAGGGAGGTGAAGACACCCCAGCTCAGGGCTCTCAGCTTTTGGAGTGACGGGTTGCAATATTGTTTCAGGCGGTTGGCTGCTAATTACAGGCTACTGCTGTTAAGCTCATTGCGCAGCCTCTGGACTCTCTATGCTCCTTCATCCATCACTCTAAATATACAGACATCAGGAACACATCTTCCTTAATCAAAGTGAGTGCTCTTTTTCATTGCAGGATTTGAGAAGGAAGTCTAATAATTTGTGAGGGGGGGGGATTAGAAACTTGTCATATGAATCATAGCTGGTCCGAGAATAGAGGAAATAATAAAAAGGTTAGATGAGCTGAAGTAGACTGTGATAAAAGTTCACTAGGAAGAAGATACTTCTGACTTAAATTACTATCTGCAAGATGTGGAACTCGATATCACCCCCGGAATTGTCCCACCAGTGTGTCCAGTTTTTCTGTTGACTAAAGGTTTCTGGGAATTAAGCTTTAGATTTGTAATTAAGTGACGCCATGTCAAGTGGGTGTATGTACAGATGCTTTCTATCGTTATTCATATGCATAGAAACTGGAAGTAACAGGCAGTTTTGTGGAGTTTTGTACCTGAGAATCTAACTGCCTTGCTGCTTTGCGTACTATAGACCTTTTCTAAGTAATACTTTTAAAAGTACTCTCCTTCCCCCTCCCACCTAGTCATTATGGAATTGGATTTTCTTCCTCCTCAGCAATTAAGTGAATGAAATGTGTGTCATGGTGGTGTCGATTTCGAAGCTGAGTGAGGATGGAAAGCCGCTGGTGCAAGCAGTTCCTTTCTCAGTGCCCATTTACTCGTTAGCATATAACGATTATACTGTGGTGCTTCTTACAATCTCTATGGGTCATCTGAGGATGCAGATACAAGAACCACCGAAGACACCTCGGAAAAGATTACCGCTCAATATGCAGCAGGAGTCTAGAAGAGCAAACAGGATGTATGACTGAATTCAGCAGCTAGGAGACAGCACCACTATATCTTGTGTTTGTTTCTACTGGCTGTATCCCCATCTTAAGAGGGGGGAGGAATTAAAGATGAAGGGAACAGTGAGGGACTCTTCAGACATTTGGAAAGGGCATTAGTGTTAGTAGTGTTACATTAAATTTACTGAAATAAATAAGAACTGTGATAGATGTAACTGACAGGGGAGTCTTGTCAAGGCAATCGTGCCTAATAGTAGTTGCTTTTGTATTTTACACTAAAGCAGTGGTCCCTAACCTTAGGCCTCCAGATGTTCTTGGACTACAATTCCCAGAAGCCTTCACTACCACCTCTGCTGGCCAGGATTTCTGGGAGTTGTAGTGGGGTCTCGACTTACGAATGACCCTCCTTACGAACAATTCAACTTACGAACCCGCCCTATAGGGGAATAAGGACTCGACATACGAACTTCCCTCGAGTTATGTACAGGGAAAAAAGTCCCCCGTCCCTCCCCTTAGAGGCTTCTGGAGGGGAAAACAAGGTCAGAAACTTAAAAATAAATAAAAGAAAGTCATTTACCAGGCCTTGGTAGCCCCCAAACAGCAGGAAAAAGAGCAGAAAACAGCTAAAAGCTCACACTAGAAGGGAGCCTGGCAGCCATTTTGTGCTTCCCCCCCCTGCACCCTCCTCTCCCCGCCTATCAGTTGATGGGCTGGCTCTGAAGAGGCTTGGGGAGGCTTGCTCAGCACCTAAAAAGCCTGCCTGTGTGTCTTTGTGCTTAAAAAATCAGCACAACATGCTTTAAAACATGATTTAAAATTGGCTTCGTTGAAAAAAAAAAGATTTCTAAAGTGCTTTGCAAACTGTTCCCTGCTCTCCTCCTGTAACCTAGACAGACAGCATTTCTGGAGGAGGAACAGAAATGTTGGTTTTCTCTAAAAGGGAGCATGCGAGTGTCCTAGTGAACATCATGTCTAGGTTTGGCACTGTGCACATCTGGCTGGAAGTCATTAGGTTTTAAGCTGGAGGAAAAGCTCAGGAGTGAAAGCCAGCAGAGTATAGTTGCTAGGCTGTTAGAATGGTATTTCGGAGCGCTAGGTTCTGATCAGCCTGGACAGCCAGAAGGACAAACGTAAGGCAAATCAAGTCTGAATTATCTTGGGAGGCAAAAATAATTTGAGCACATCATGAGAAGGCAAGGTTCCCTGGAATAGACAACAATGCTGTGTTTTGAGGATAAAGTGAAGAACAGGTATGTTCCCATGAGTTAATTGGGGCAAAGTCCAGTCCAACAGAAGCAGCCTCTGTGCCCGCATAATGGGCAGAGGGATTCACTGTGAAGTAGCTTTATGTACTAATGTTGATTCAGAAGACTAGGAGTGGGTCACTTTGGCATATGTGGAGGCCTTTCAGGAGCTGCACAGCCCAACAGCAAAAAAAATGAGACCAGAAACTGCTAGAAAACCACTTTCAGTTTTTTGGGGAAAATTGTATTTTGGAGTGTTAAATGGGACGGGGAGATATTGTCATTTAAGAGAAGTGTCACCCTGAATTCTGCTGGCACCTGCCTTTCTGTTGGAAAAAGAAAGAACTGGATGTTGCAAAAAGCAGCATTTGTTCCTAATAGAGATAGGCATGAACTATCACTTGCTTGGTTTGTGCCAGCTCAGCTGATGGATGCACAGCTGATCCATGGTTCAATGCCTTGCCCCCCTCTGGCAGGTGCCCCCTTAGAGTCAGTGCCCGGATGAGGTGGGGGCAGGGAAGCTGGGGCACTGCTTCCAAGCCTGCCAGGGAGAGTGGGGCGCCGAACTGGCACAAATCACTAAACTTGGTGGTTCATGTGCATGTCTGGTTCCTAAGACTACTTATCTTAAAGATACGACATTTGAATGGATGAGAATAATAGCTCCAGATGTGGTTTGGGATCAAGAAGATTGAGAGACATTGCTTCGTGTGGGTTTTAGACACAGACACAGAATGCTTCCAAGAGATCTTGCTGTCAAGAGTTGCGAAGTTTTTTCAAGAAGCCACAGTTTGTGAAAGTGGTGAGAGAAAAATCTGGACAATTGGTGTATAAAGAGGCACCTATTCAAGTATACAAAGGTCCCTGGTGTTTAATTATAGCCAGGAGATGCTCTTTAAAATCTATAATGGCCATTCTTATGAAGAATTGGAGGACATCCAGTATACATGAGAGGGCTATATGTTGGAATATATTATAGAATAACCTCATTGGATCAAGGCCTAGATTTGTTGCATGAATGGCGGTTTATCGATGACAGTCAGTCATAGAATCGTTTGAGATAAATATGAATTGGAAGAATTGATGCTTTTGAACTGTGGAGCTGGAGGAGACTCTTGAGGGTCCCCTGGACTGTAAAAGGAACAAACCTATCCATTTTGAAGGAAATCAACCCCGAGTGCTCACTGGAGCCTGAAGCTGAGGCTCCAATACTTTGGCCATCTCATGAGAAGACTCCCTAGAAAAGACCCTGATGCTGGG